GGTTCAAACCATTTACTATGATTGTATAAATTTTGTTACCTTTGGCTCATCGGGTACTCCACTTGTTATGACATAAATCCCTTCCACTTCTGCATGAAAGTAAATATGAGAGTAAAGTAAATAAGGTCAATACATGTAGCTAAGAATGCTTAAATAATAAAGCTTCACTCAGGCACTGTTGCCGACTGTCTGAGTTTGCCCTGATTCCTGTAGCACGAAGCGACCAAGAGAATTATTACCCCCCACCTCCCACAGATTACCCCGACATTTTGTCAGATTTTCCTAACAGATTACTAGAACCTATTGCATTCTGGCACAGAGAGAGGCACAGAGTGTGAGAGTTAAGTGTCTTGCCAGCCAGCCCTTCAACTCAGGTAAGTACTTGATGTAGAGTCCATTGAAAGGCCCCAACACAAACTAATGTACTTTGAAAATGACATGCCCTTAACCAGTTTTCAGCAAGGTTAGTTCTTACTTACCAATACCATGAGCCTTCTCCTCTTCATTTTCCACGGCTTTCCTAAACGCATCTAAAAAATTCCTACTTCCTGTACATCCTCTGCGAAGAAACCACCTACAGATCAAGGGCATCAAACATCAGTTGAACCAAACCAACATTAGGTGTCCCCAAATTGTAGGTTCTCTGCAGGGACAGTCGGCTAATAGATTACTTGCAAAAAATTTTCGACGACTTCAACTTCGGACGAAAAGAGTGTCCGAAAATGAAACCGTCCGAAATTTTAAGAGTCCGAAATATTTACAGTACAGTAATAACGTTTTAAGTAGCTCCAAAGCTCTTGGTTTCCTATTTGGAAGGAACTCTAGTTGAGACGCTGCTTGAGATACGTAACGGAATGATAGAATGTATGCCATTTTCTCGTCGGTGTTTCTGCAAGACCTTGAGGGAGCAGTTAAACTAACATTTTCACAGCTGTTGTTTTAGACTAATTTGTGATTTTTACGCGTAAATTTACCTTAGCTATGTTTACGCAAAGTATCCGAAATTTTTGTCTAAAATTTGTCCGAACTGAGATACAAAGTGTCCGAAAGTGAAACGTCCAAAACAAAACGTCAGAAATTTTAACGGCCGAAAATTTTTTGCATGTAATTTACCTTAGCTATGGTCACGCAGTGTCCGAATTTTTTGTCCGAACTGAGATAAAAAGAGTCCGAAAATGAAACGTCAGAAAAAAATCGCCCGAAAGTTTTTGCAAGTAATGTAGTTATGAAACAAAACTGTTGTTGTTGTTGTTTACAAAAAGGATTTTGGTCTGCAGCAAGATAATGAGTACGAGGCACTATGATTGACAGGCAAGGTTGAAAGCAATAGAAATCACAATTGTTACTAATTACGGTTTTTCACCTGAATCAACCGACATTTCGTTACGGTAAATGTAACTATTCTTCTCCCAATGTTTGCTCCTTGACCAACTTTTATTATGTAAGTTTTCTGTCTAATACGCTTTCAATCTTCAAAAGTTAACTGGTTAATTGGATAACTTTGCTGTTTGCCTAAAACAGGAAAACTTTGGCCTTGTCTCCCCTTGTAAGTTGTTATAGTAGCTTGCAATCATAGTGTCTTTTTCATAAATTTCGTGCTAAATCTAAAGCACTAGTCAATTATGTCAGACAAGATTGTAACCAACAAAATCCGCTAACTGTCTCTGAATGAGAAAAACTTACTTCCAAGTAGCCTCAAGATACTCTGGAGAAGGTTCCACCATGACAGGACGAAACATCTCCGTAGTATCCCCAAAACTGCAAAAATATAAATAAAATGTTAAAGCTAAAAAAGCTGATCTTGATATACTGATACACGAGAAACGAATCTAAATTTCAAAGACCTAGTACTTTGCACTGATGGGTTTTGGCCAAAGACCAAGGCGCAACAAGGCTACGGTTGCTCTGTCATGGGGGAAAATTCAATTCCAGGTCATTTGAAGACTTTTCTTCTTTGTAACCAATGTCCCCAAGAAACAGGAAATTACATCTTAGAAAACACACAGATTTTTAATTTTTTTTCAGTGGAGGGGGATACCCCTGCCCCCCTTAGTTGTCCCACCAACTGCTATGGCCTACTATTTCTGAATTTCGTGATGCCCTGCTTTATAACTTTTATAACTTTATCTTCTCAAACTCATTAATAATTCATCAAGTTAAAACAAAGAAAATCACAACCGTGAAGGAGGTTTGGATACCCGGTCTTAATTAGCATAGATTTTGACGATCTTACTCCGTTCACTCTTTAGTTTTTGTTTCGACTGAGAAGATACATCAAACACTCGAGACAGTGCTTCATCGGCTATCCAAACACCTCGAAGTTCGTCAATAATACTACGCTGCGCGTCTTATTTTCAGCTCTCTTCTCGGTGTTTGGATATCCCGATGAAACAGTATCTCTAATATCACAAGTAATATGTCAAACACGAAAGACAGTGTTCGACCACATTTCCAAACACCAAGAAGAGAGTTGAAAATACGACGCGTAGCGGAGTATTTTTTACGAACTTCGAAGTGTTTGGAAATGTGGTCAAACACTGTCTTGAGAGTTCGATATGTCTTCTCAATGGAGACTAAGACTAAGAGGAAAACGTAGAAATAAAATCGTAAAAATTTATGCTAATTAAGATCAGATATCCAAACACTGTCACGGTCATGATTTCCTTTGTTTAAACTTGATGAATTATTTATGAGTTTGAGAAGGTTAAATATAGTATTGTATACTATAGATAGAAGTGACTGTTTCTTTTTGAAGAAAACATAACTACAGTTTACACTAGTCAGATATAACGTTTGCTTGAAATGGTAATGTTAAACGTTTACCAGATAAAGTTGTAGGAGGTCTTGTTAGCCATTTGCTGTTCAAGTAAAAGTCTGAGATCTTC